ATATATATCCCCTTTATTTTTACCTTTACTTGTCAGTTTTGTTCAAATAATGCATGTGCACAGTTTAGAGTCAAGTGATACCATAGGCCTTGAAGACAATGCATAACAGTTCTTGGATTCAGTCACCTGTTACCACCCTGTGGCTCACACTCCAGAAGAAACAATGCATTTAGCTATTTCATATGGAACTTACTTCCACATTGCTAACTAAGATGCTTCTGTTCTTCATTAATTTTAGACAGCATTTTTTACTTACTCTTATGAAGGTGTTAACTCCCTTACCCCTCTTTACCTCTTCCCTCTCATCCTCCCTGTGGGGTTAAATGACTATTTAAATTTAAAGCAATTGCGTTCCCCATCCCCTCTACCAAATAATATATTGTAATTATATTCCCTTTCTTTTACAGTTTTGTTTTTTTCCTTAACATCTTATTTTAAAATTAGTCATACAGTATGCCTCTCATTCCCTAAAAGCCATCCTTGGTTCCTATTGTCTGTAGGAGAAAATCCAAGCTCAGTGTGTGTATAACCTGTGAGCTTACCTGGCTCACTCTTCATTTTTCCAGCCTCACCAACCACTACTTTCTACACCAGAGCCTCAACTCTAGTTACTGTTTTGTAGTGCCTTGAGTGGGCATATTGCCTCTTTTCTCCTTGTCTTTCCTGTGTACAGTCTTGAACACCTGTCTTTCTGCCTTCTGTGCTTACCAAGGCTTCATCTTCTCTAGGAAAGTCTTTCAGTCCTTTCATCCTCATTCCCACTTCCAGCATGTCTGGGTTAGGTGTCCCATAACACCCTTGTATATAATTCTACTGTGGCTTTACTCATCTGATTTTATAATTGTTTCTGCTAGCTGTTCTCCAGATGTGGTCTGGGGTCCCTCAGGCCTCCTAAGATCCTTTAAAGCGTCTAAGAGGTCAGCTGCTAGGTTTTTCTACTATAACATCTGAAAACAACTAATGTTTGCAACACAGCTTGTGAAAAAAATAACCTTGGGGCATGCCACTCAAAACCTATGCATCTGTAACCAGTTTACGAGGAAAAACAATAGCAATCTTAAATTTTTAGCACAGCTAAATCTGTGGGATTTGCACCGAGCATCGCAGTCAGTCCTTCACAACCTTAAACGCTAGGTAGAGTTCGTTTTTCTCCTTTGAGATTTAGGCCTTGGAATATAGTTTGCTATGGATATCATTTTTATCAGAATTTAAAAATCTGAACCTGGGTATAGCTTTCATTAGTCTGTTGTTTTAATTCAGGGACAGTGTCTTAGCATTTTTTTTTTCATCTGCATTCATAGCTTCTAATTGCATCTAATTGCTATATATAATTTTCACCTTTTGCTTAAAGTCTTCCTAATTTGCTAAGGTATCTCTGTAATACATGAAAGCTTGTACCTTCCTGTCACTTCAGCACATGAATAGGTATTGTAAACCACCACAACTTCCTCATTATCTCTACATCATTACCCTAAGTACTAAATGTATGCGATAACTTGTGTTAAACATGCATTGTCACAGATTGTACCTCCTATTCCAGGAAACCTTTCTTGACTGCCTCCCACCTGGATATCCTCATGGCTTTCTGTTCAGATCTGTTTGTCTTTCTTACCAGACCAGAGAAAAAGGAGTTTGGGAAATCTGGTTTCACAATTTTGCACTGCATGTTGACAAGGTCATGTTTTTTGCAGCTTCTGAGTACCTGGTCTCAGGTCTGTTGGAGTAGGTCTGAAGCACAAATTACACTGCGCTTTCTAAGATGAAAAATGTAATTGTCCCTTCCTTGTTAATATCTGTGACAGACTCTGTTGTCTATAGTAGATGTTCTTAGAGTGGAATCATGGTGTTACTGAATAAAAGGAGATTGGTTTTGCCTGCATGCATCAAAGCCAAATGAGATACGAGCAGGCGTTTGCAGCAAACAAAGGTTTATTCAAGGAAATAATGCCAAGCCCAGAGACGCAGGTGAGCCAGGGCTCAAAGACCTGGCTTCCTGATGACCTCTTGGGCAGCAGTTCCCAATCTTTTTGGCACCAGAGAAGGACTAGAGCTTCTATGAGAATCTAATGCCTAATGATCTGAGGTGGAGTTGAGGCGATGATGGGTTGCAAATACAGATGAAGCTTCCTTCGCTCCCCCACCACTCACCACCTGCTGTATGTTTGGGTTACTAGTAAGCCACAGACCAGTACCAGTCCGTGGTCCCAGAGTTGGGGACCCCTGCTCTAGGGCATAGGTTATAGAGGGGAAAGATCATTAGTCATAGTAGTTAAGGGAGTTTGGGTTGTGGGCTCCACTAATTGGTCAGGGCTGGGAAGGAGGCAGTTAATTGCATCAGGTCCTGATGTCCTTGTTCTGTCTGTTTCGAGGGGATGTGGCCCACAGGGTTGGTCTGCCTTCATGGGTCTGGAGCTGAAATACAGCTGGACAAGATGGTATCATTAGTTTGACTGAAACTCTGTGGTCAACAGACATGAAGCTTTGTTTCTAAGACTCTGATGCTGACCAGAATCTGATGTCCTAAGGGCTTTAATGAATAAGAGTGTGGTTGTGCAATATGTGCAAAGGTAGAAGAATAAGGAAAGAAAAGAAGCAAGTGGTCATGGTGCGTGCTATTAGACTAGACAAAGCCAGTTTGAATCAAGGAGAGAAGAGAAAAAGTCATGTTAAAGATGTGAAACTTTTTGCAGTTACAATGGATCCTTAGGAACTCAGGAACCTTCTGAAATTGTATGTAAAACTTCTGATTTATATTTTAATAGAGAGGGCATAGATATAATCAGACTCAAAAAGATTCAGGCCAAAAAAGAAATCACTAGCCTGCAGGTCTTACAGTACTGAAAAGTACCCAATTGCATGTAATTTCTCAAAAGTATCACGTGGTCTCTTGCTTAAATACCAGTTCTTTCCTCATCCTATAATTCCTTTACCATTTTAAAGCCATTATACAAATCATACCTTTAAGAAGACGTTCCTTGATCCCTGGATTCAGTTCCCACTTTGGGTTCCTTTGGGCTCATGTGTTATAGCACTCTATCCATTTACAAGTGATTTCTCACTTGTAAGGAGACATGTGAATGCCTTCCTAATGGGCTCATTGTAACTTTTAATGAGATAATATACAGATAATGCTTAGTCCAGTGTCTGTCAGCAAATGGTAGTAGTTCTTGTTTTCTTGATTCTTCCTCTTGTCTTTCTCACCAAAAGTGTGAGCTTCTGTGCAGTAAAGTCAGTGTTTTGCTGTGATAATTTTAGGTAGGTTAGAGTTCAGTAGGACTTGAGAAGAGTGAGGTCATTCTTCAGCCCTAGAACCAAACAAGGGGAATAATTTTTCAAACTAGTAAATTAATGGTATTTCCAGTAGAGCTATTTGTTAAACATCTGTGCATAGTCAGAATTAGTTTTATAAAATCCTTAGGCATTTACCACAGTGGAAACTAAAGGAACTATCTTTCCATCTAGAAAAAGTAGTCACTTGTTCTTTAATCTTGGGAAGACATTCATTCTTTCGGTATGAAACCAGGTGAAAAAAGTTAACCTGAGCTTAGAAGCCATGTCATTAAAAAATAATCTTTAAATGCCAGAATTGTACTCAGGGACTTGAGATGCTTGAGCTATAAAAGGATGCCCAAACTACAACCCACTGAAGGAACAGCAGATTGACATCACCTATGCATTACATGCTATGAAATAACTCTCGTGAAGGAGAATGGTGTACTTTTTAAGTTATTTTATTTTTTGGATGTGGGAGCATTGGAGCCAGCCACATTTGTGTGTTTGAATGAATGTGATGTGAATTTACAGTATTTCTTCTCAGAAAGTTTAAAGAGATCATAGGAAAAGACAAAAGGGGATATAGACCGACACTGGGACAGGCTCTGGTGAGAAAACTGTCCAGTAATGTTGCAGCAGCTCAGTACCAGAGGTCTGAGGATCCTAATGAAGCTTGAGACCCAATTGCTTTTCTTGAGCATTCATCCTTGCCAGAGTTAGCTCTTGTTTTTGGTCACAAGTCTTTCATTTCTCGCTTTCCCTCTTTTAATACTTATTAACTATAGTTGAATAGAGCTTATTAACTATAGTTAATCTACTTATTAACTATAGTTGAATAGAGCTTAAATTGTGTATCCAGTATTGTGTATTGACATTTTAATTTAGTCTCAAGGTGCATTTGTTTCCATACAAAGATGCTGAGTTTGACTTGTTAAAAAAGTTAATTGTATGTGTATGTATGTAACATATGTTCTATTGCTTAAACTATTCAAGTTGTTAATGAAATTTGTGGTTTTATTTCTCACAAGGTTTACCAAATGAAATTTTTATACACACACACACACACACACTTTGAAAATGTGAGTCTGTTTTTATTTTTACGTTTTGTAATCAGTTTTTGGATATGTCATTCTTTGAGTTAACATTTTGAATTTATATCGTGTGTTTAGGAATTGTTAGCAGATTTTTAAGTGTAGGAGTTTTAATCAAGTAATCCGTACACATTAGACTAGGTTTACTATATTCTAAAGAAGGTCACATGGCTTGGTGAATAAGAGCGTAGTTTCTGGGTCTGAAAGACCTGGGACTGTGTCCCAGCAATGTTACTTCTTAGAGCAGCACTATAATATGGCACCTAGTGGCCACACATAGCTATTAAGCACTTGAAATGTGGCTAGTATTGACTGACTGAATTTTAAATTGTATTTAATTTTAATTAATTTAGTTCTAGGGAGACACATGTGACTAGTGGCTACCATGAAGGGCCTCACAGTATGAGGCGACTTAACTTTTCTGTGTTCCAGATTTCCCATCTGTACAGATGAGGCCATATCTAAGCTATCTTTTGTGATTGTTCTAAAAACAAAAATTAATATATTTAACACCGTGCCTGTAATAGCATATGCCCTTGAGAAATGTTAGTTGTAATGACTATTACATATTTAATAAACTGAAATTACTTTCTTTTGAGCATTAATTTAAACCTGTTTATTTTTATTCCCTTTCAGGATTAATTTATTTTTGGAAATCAAGTGCAATATTAAAAGGAAATCAAACCATACTACATTATTGGAAGCCATTTCTGCTAATTTTATTACATTTTAAAATTTATGATTTGATTTGAATACTATCATGGGAGGAGCTGTGAGTGCTGGGGAAGATAATGATGACTTAATTGATAACTTAAAAGAAGCTCAGTATATCCGCACTGAAAGAGTGGAACAAGCCTTCAGAGCAATTGATCGTGGAGATTACTATCTGGAAGGCTACCGAGACAATGCTTACAAGGACTTAGCCTGGAAGCATGGGAACATACACTTGTCAGCACCTTGCATTTATTCTGAAGTTATGGAAGCATTGAAACTTCAACCAGGATTGTCTTTTCTTAACCTGGGAAGTGGAACCGGATATTTAAGTACAATGGTGGGCTTAATTTTAGGTAATTTTATTTTTGTAAAATTCTTTTTAAAAAGTAAGCTGTTTGTATTACTGTTTATAATTTACAGTGTTTGTAACTTTGTGTACAGTATATGTTTGTGTATACTCAAAAGTAGTTCTTTTTTTAAATAGAAACACAAGGTATTAGTAATCTTATTCTTAGCCTTGACCCTGATAGTTAGCTTCTACATTCAGTCCTAGACTAAAAAAAATCTTGGAACTGTTTCCCCAGTCATTGTCTGTATTTAAATTGAACAGCTGGTAGGCAGGAGACTCAGTAGTGTAATATAATGTATTTCAGATAAAGTATTCTGACTGCATAGAGTTTGATGGTTATCAGTGTCTCATTTTAAAGGGAATGGTGCCAGGTTTTTTAAAAAAGATACAGGAGTATGTGGGATACAAAGAGTATGGCACTGGTGGAACAAAGCAAAGGATTGGAAAAAAATAGGAGAGAGAAGTATATGTCGTCACTAAGCTTTCAGCATACTTATTGTCTCTTGTGCCAGGCATTACTTCTGGTGAGAGTATACAGCAGTGATCAAAAGGGACAGATACCTCTGCCTTTGAGAAGCTTGTTGGGTGCATACTATGGGAATTAAGCATTGTTTAAAGCATTTTATATACAGTAACTTATTTAAGGTTCCTAATAACGTTCCTGTGAACTATAAACTATTATGATTCTCATGTATATAGGTGAGTTAAACTGAGGGATAGAGAAGTTAAATAACTTGCCTAAAGTCACATAGCTAGGAAGAGACAGCTGGAAAATATGGAATATGGGTGGAAAAAGCATGGCTGGAGGAAAATCTATAAAACATTATGATGATGAATGGAGGATGAAAACCATGAATTTTACTAAGCCATTTAGTATTTACTGAGTGCTACTGTGTGGTAGGCATTAATGTAGAGCATTAATGGCCCATAACATGGACTCTTACCCTTGAGTTCACAGACTGGTATGGGTAGAGAGACAAAGACCAGTTTCTCATCCAGTGTGATATGTGTTATAATTGAGATATATGCCCAAGTTTTAGGAATGATACTGGTTTAAAATTTACTCTCAAGTGATGGGGAATCATTGAAAGGTTTTAAATAGAGAAATGACTATACTCTAGTAGGATAACTATGTCCCTGTGTGCTGCGACAGTCCTGGCTTATCCCTGTTGTTCTAGCTTCAGTATTAATAATGTCCTTTTCTTTCCCAAAGTGTCTCAGTTTGGACAATAAATTATGTGGTCACATATGGCACTCAAGGCATTTTTCAGTCCTGAAATGTCCCTTTCCTGCACACTGGCTGTCTTCTTACTTTCTCTCCTAGTCATGGAACCTGCAATGTATTTCTTTAAAAAAAAAAAAAAAAAAGTACTTTCCTCTCATAGTTAAGTCAGTTCCTGATACATAACAACTGCTCAAAAATGGTAGCAAATTATTAATTTTTACCAATAAAGAAATTTATCGGCTAAATGTAAGCCGATAAACTTACTAAATGTAAGTTCTCCTTTCCCAAGACAGGAATTTCTCTGCAGATTGGGAAGCCTATCATTTCTATCACAGTGCCTCTTTGAGAACGGAATCTCTAGGAGTTGAGACTGCTTCCAAATCAAAGGAACTTAGTAGGGGAGTAGGGAGAGCTTCTTTTCAAAAATGAGTTACCCTCCTTGAACCAGTGCATTTCTTGACCAACTCTGACAACTTTAGGCTGGAGTCCAGGCTTCTTACCATGTTTGGCAGTCTCAGAGCACCTGTTATCCTGTCTTCTACTTCTCCAATCTTGTCAACTGCCTCTTACTGAGGGAGGTCAGTGTAGCCAGAAGCCTGGCCAGAAGAGAGAGATCATTGGGAAACATCAGCAGTGAGGTGGCCCTCTTAAACCCCATTTCTTAGTCTCAGTCTCCAAGAGATGAGATCCTGTGCCCAGATGCATTTACAGGGCAACCTCAAAATTCATTGTATCTTGAATGTCTTACTTAATCCTTACCAGAGAGCAGTGTGGGGAAACAGACCCTTGTCTAAATGTTCCATAATGCACTAGATATTTTCCTTCTGTTACAAAGCTCCAGGGAGTCATGGGTCTTTAGTTACATGCATGACTGGTCACTGGACATTATTCTAGGACTTAACTGTGTATGATCCTGCAATATCAAGACCAAGATATCGTTCTTCTGATGGGAAATATTCATTTTGTGAGACAGGTAAAAGTACTTCAAAGAAGGAAAGGGAGAAAGAATAGAGTCTGTAAAACTATGATTATAGCTAATAAATCTTGGATCTATCCAGCTTTCGAGGAAGCTTAATCTTTTTTTCCCATCTCTTTTTTTTGTTTTGTGTTTTGAGAGCGTTTGAGTCAAGGAAGGGAGGCTACATCCATAAAAATCACTTGGAAACTAGATCCAAAGAAGGATGCTCACATGCTCCCTATAATTTTCTGAGCATGGTGAATCAGATATGGTTCTATTGCTCCACAGTGACCTTATTAACAGAAGTTCTCTCCTTATTAAGTAACTCTAACGCCATGGCTCTCGGCCACATTTATCTCCCAGTTACAAGATGGGGATGACAGGTGCTCACCATCAACAGTGGTTCTCATCTGAGGACATGCTCAGTATAATCTGGAGGAATCCAGGCTAAGGCAGGGAGAGCAGGGCATCTGTGCTTTGATGATACAGATAAGGAAGATATCCCTTGAGTTTTCATGCCACTCCAGAAACACACTTGTAGAGAGGTTGCGTTACCATCTTGAGAGAGCTATTGTTGTTCACTGAGAGGAAGTTAGGTTTATATTAACTTCAGGAAATTTCTTTTGATTAAAGGACATTTAAAACAGTTTTTCATAAATGGAGTTTATTTTTGCCCCAGATCTGGAGAAGAAATCACCTCATTTAGACAGTTTGTTTAGTTTCAAATTGAAGATAAATTCTTGTTCCACTCATTTCTTGAGGGTCTTCCTAGAACCAAGGAATTTCACAAAGAATCTTGTATTTAATCGATTCTCCTCTCAGTACTGTTTTCTTATATCTAGGCAATTCCTTTGAAAAATAGGGTATAAGAAAAGAAGCCTCCCAACTCCTCTACTTCCCAGAGTTGAGTTCGATATCAGAACCAGGAAGGCAAGTTATTCTGATAATCTTTCTAATTCAGGTAGGAGTGGTTCTCCATTCTGATCCTTTTTGCTTAGGGATTCACTACCATTTTCTAATATAACCCATAATATAAAAATTAAGATTTCTTATAAAACCTATAACATCAGGGACCACTGAACTTAATGACTTCCTTAGTCTTTTGCCTCTTTCCTCAGTTAAAAGGAGTAACTGCCAGAATCATTCCAATACTCTGTATACCACTACCTCAGCACTGCAGTATTATTTTCTAAGGGTGAAACAATTGATAAGCTTGTGTGCCTAACAGGAAACACTGTCAACATGTGTAAATAGCAACAATTGCCGTATTGTCCAAAAGGGCTAATTAGTTAAGTGATACGATGTCAGCATGTTTGGTCTCTGTACTCTTTCTCTTTTTACCACAGGACATGGAATGGTCCTTATTCAGCTACCCTTATATTGCCTTTGACCTCAGATACTCATGTTTTCTCTTTCATTTTAGCCCTCCTCAGTTCAGTGAGTTTTATTAAACTTGCAGAGCTATCAATTACTGTAATCCAGTTTGAGAACACTCTTATCATCCCAGAAAAATCCTTCATGCCCAGTTGTATCTACTCCCTGTTCCTACTCCTGCCCCTGGCAAACACTCATCTACTTTGTCACTATAGATTTACCTTTTCAGTACATTTCTTATCAATGGAATTATATAATAAATGGTCTTTTGTGTATCTTAGCATTGTTTTCAAGGTTCATCCATGCTGTAGCATGTATTAGTACTCCATTCCTTAGGGCTGAATAACATTCTGTTGTATGGGCATAGCACATTTTGTTGCTCCATTCACTTAATGGACATTTGGGTTACCACTTTTTGGAAGTTATGAATGATGCTATGAATATTCACATGTTAATTTTTGTGTGAACATTTTAATTTCTCTTGGGTGGATTCCTAGGAGTGGAATTGCTGGGCTGTATGGTAAGTTTATGTTTAATTTTTAAAGAACTTGTCAAACTTAAAAAATGGTTGCACCATTTTGTAGTCCCACCAACATTGTATGAGGTTCCAGTTTTTCCATGTCCTCATTGATGCTTGTTATTTTCTTATTAATAGGCATCTTAGTGGGTATAAAGTGATCTCTCATCGTGGTTTTATACTTCTCTAAGGACTGATGATATGGAACATCTTTCCTGTGCTTTTTGGTCATTCTTATTTCTCTTCTTTGGTGAAATGCCCATTCATATCTTTCCCCCATTTTTTAATTAAGTTGTTAGTATTCTTATTTAATTGTAAGTGTTCTTTATATATTATTCAAATATTTTCCTCCATTTTTTGATTAAGTTGTTAGTATTCTTATTAGTAAGTTGTAAGTGTTCCTTATATAATTTTGGATACAATCACTTTATCAGAAATATAATTTTTAAATATTTTTTCATGCCCTTTTAGAAGGCTCTTGGCTCACTTCAGGCCATAGAATCAGGGAGATCCAGATTCTCCCTCCGTGTGGTCCTCTGCGTCCCCCCACCTTGTTTTTATGGGGGAGTAAGACAGCACGTTCCGCAAGTTTCCAGGGTTCTCTTTAAGGTAGATTGTATTTTCTACATTTAACCAAACCCCAGTTTTCTCTCTGTCTGCTGTCCTCCTTTTTTTTTTTTTTTTTGGTGGTGGCGTAGAAGGAGGAAATTTTATTTTTTTTCTTTTGAGAAATTACAAATGTTGCTCTTGGTATGTGCTTTATTTTGGGATCTGAGCACATCTGTTTGGAAAAGAACCATTTCAATTAGGTTACTTGTCATTTTCTGAAATCAACAAAGCGCTTCACTGTTTAAACTGTTATTTCTTAGTCCCCATTAGGCTTTCGTGTATCTTCTGCCCGTACACCCTGTATCGAGTTGCCACTACTAT